TGCATTTGTCCATGGTCTGTACTAGAATAAAACTTAAACTTGAAACTTTACAAGTGGCCAGTTTGCCGATCGCCCCTTTAATGTTCAAAAAAAAATAAATCAATTATATTACGTTGTTCGAATTATAAAATATTCTTTTATCAAAATCATATAGTGCGCAACAACACAGTGCAATACCGACCCACATTGTACGTAATTCAAACAATTACATTTATTTGTCAATCGTTAATCGCACTCACTTGTCGCAACCGATGCACGGTATTAGGTAACTGAGTCACTGTCACTGTGACAAAAGCCTTGAGAAACTTTTTTTTATCGCCTGAACTCATCACCATACGAAACTAGATCGTAAATCAAAGCTAATAAGAATTACTTACGCAAGTAAACGTATGTCAACGTGCGTGCCCTATCATCTCCTGCGCAGGATATCTCTCGCCGCGATAGGCGAGTGCACAATCGGCCCTTGATTTGCCAAGTGAGCGCTCGAGACGCCAAAACACGGCGTTCGCTCGACTTGGCGATAGTCCATTACGCCAAGTGCACGACCATAATGCACTATGTGTTTATTGTATGTATTCTTTATCAGACGGTTAAAATATGAATATTATAGCGTTCTTTGTAATTGTAACACTAATGTACAATCTACAATGTGATTAAACCATTTTTATATAAAACTAGCTGTTCGCCGCGACTTCGCCCGCGTGATTTATTACCATTGGATTTCATGGATATAAATTTTTTTGCGCGGAACCCTAATAATTTTTTAAAATAAAAGTAGCCTATGTTACTCCTTATAATATCAGCTATCTGCTTGTGAAAGTCCTATCAAAATTGGTTCAGCCGTTTCGGATATTAGCCGGAACAAACAGACAGACAGACAGAAAGAAAGACAGACAAAAATTTCAAAACTTGTGTTTTTGTTATAAGTACCGTATATACTGTCATATGCATTTAGTAAAAATCTGGTATTTTGACATTATAAACAGACACTTCAATTCTATTTATTTGTATAGATAAGGATAGTGAGCTAAGGAAAAGTTGTGGTCTGAAAGAAGATGTAGTGACAAAAATTGAGAAAGGTATGCTGAGATGGTTTGGCCATGTCGAGAGAATGAATGAAGAACGATTGACGAAAAAAGTGTATAAGGCGAGTGTGAATGAAAGTGTTGGAAGGGGTAGACCTAGGCGGACATTTCTAGAACAATTCAGAGACGTCTTTAAAAAGGCCAGGTCAAGAGTACCTTAAACCGTAGAGCATGTATGAAGGGAATAATAAAAGTGGACGAAGCAAAACAAGTATGTAAGGATCGTAGCAAGTGGAAAAAAGTGGTCTCTGCTTACCCCTACGGGAAAGAGGCGTGATTATATATATAAGGATGGCAAACGAGCACACAGTTCTCCTGATAGTCATCGAGCACACAGTTCTCCTGATAGTCATCGGATACTGTAGCCCATAGATATGTATCTATACTCGGTTAAGAATCAAAATTATAGGAAAAATTAAAAAAAAATCAAAATATTGGGTTGTCACCCCTAAGGAAATACCTCATTTCCAGTAAATAGGGTCTCCGGTTCTCTACACTCATACGAACCACAGCAGCGTTAAGCTCTTATTTTACGTTAGTATTCTGTGAGAGCGTGGTCCATTCCCGTTCGAGCCGACCCATTATAGCCAACAACTAGAAAATAAATAAATGCGGTTGTCAACCCGCTCAACTATGACATACATTCCCCTTATAAGTCAGTCAATGGCGGAGGCCTTTGTTCAGCAGTGTATTTTTGATAGGCTATAATGATGATGACGATCATGTTTGTAACAGCGTCATAAGAGAATGCATCACACGTGGTAGAGCCACGCTGCAGCTTAGTATGGTTATAGCACGGATAGATCGGCTCGACCGGGGAGGCACCACTCTCTCACAGAATACCAGCGTAAAATAGCACTAATTCTAATTAAGGAGACCCTTTCTATTGGATAAGAGGCATTCCATCTTAGCCATGATGACAACGCATCTGCATATTGATTCTTAATCGAAAGTAAAAGTAGATGTCTATGGGCCACAGTATCCACTTAACGTCAGGTGGAATTTGTCCTAGTGTGCTTGTTGTCACCCTTATCCTATAAAAAAATCACGTCCTCTGGATTTCGTAAGAAATACTAGATTTACTTTCTTCCTCTGGTGTTGATAGAATATTGTTGAAGCCGTTGTCAATTGTTTTGTTTGCACATCAGTTCAATAAAAAAATTCATTTTAATTTATTATCTCTACGCATAAATTAACAAACACTATTTTTTACACGTGCCTCATCGATAAAATAAAGGTCCAATTTTGTTGTACAATGTCTATCAGTAAGTACAGCTTGTATCAGCACGTTAACTCATCAAGATGCGTCATTTAGTTATTTTTAACCGCATTTGTATGACTTATTAGGAATTTGTAATCACTCAACACTATACTAACCGCATATCGATCAATAAATATTATAACATTTAACGTAGGTATGCAGCAAATCTTATAGTTTGTGTCATTAATATAGTCTCCTCTCAAATCTGACAGAGTTTTAGTTTTAGAGGTTAGTGCCGGCGAGGTCGAACCCGGGTTGCTCGCGTACTGTAAAGTTTACAGCGAGGGTTTAGCCCCTGAGCTACCACGGTTCTTCAAACACAGACTACAGCCGAATCTTCTGAAACTGTTATGAAATAGAGGAAGTAAGAACATCCACTACCCCCCCCCCCCCATATTGTCCCGTGGGTGTCATAAGAAGCTACGGAGGAAAATTTAAATAGAAGAAGGATCTTCCCGAGAACAACTCAATAAAAAAAACTGTTGTTGCAAACCCGCCTAGCAAAGGTAGCAACTATGGCAAATGTCCCCCTATGAGAGGTATATGTGGAAGGCCTAATGTTCAGCAGCGTACTTGTGGTCGGTTTTAATGAATCAATAAATAATGAATGTGCGCAAAAACAAAACATGTCTTCCCATTTTTAAAATCTAAATAGCATATTTAGCCAGATGAGCCGTATGCTCGTATGACTCCTCTTCCATAAATAACTCTCCTTGAGTTGATAAACTTAAAACGCCTGAACCGATTTTGATTAAACATGTCTAAGAACCACCGCTAGAAAATCTGCTTTTAAATTTAAAAAAACCGAACTCAAATAGTTTCACTTGCTTAAGGGCTACGGCACCACAGTGAGACACACATAGTGGTCAAACTTATAACACCCCTCTTTTTACGTCGGGAGTTAAAAAAGAAGGTGAACAAAGTTCGTGTGTATATACTGTCATGCGAGTATTTTGAATTGCTTCAGCCAAAACTAAAAAAAAATTTTTACGTGGTAGAGCCATGCTACAGCTATATTGGTAGGTAGTATAGTTGTAGCAGTGGGTCGGCTAGACCGGGTAAGGACCACGCTCTCACAGAATACCAGCGTAAAATAGCAGCTTAACACTGCTGTGTTGCGTATGGTGAGTGTAGAGAAGCGGAGACCCTTTTTACTGGAAAAGAGGCATTCCATCTTAGTCCTCACGGGTGACAACGTATCTGCATTTTGATTGTTTATTGAGAATAGATGTAGATGTCTATGGGTCACAGCAACCACTTACCATCATGTGGACTGTGTGCTCGTTTCTCACCCTATCCTATAAAAAAATCTTGGGAAGTAAAACTGCTTTCCTGGTGTCGTCAGATTTAATTGAATATTAATCTAAGTACACCGTTACCGTTACAGTCTATTAAACGTCCACAGCTGAACATAGGCCTCCCCTATAGATTGGCTCATAGGAGAGATATTTTCAATAGTTGCACGCTTGGCAGGCTAGCAACTGCAGTTTTATTTATTTTTTATGTTATTTGGGAGGCGCTGCTGTTCACCTCCTGATTTGTAGCCCTCTGTCACCTATTACGACACCCACGGGATGACATGGGTTAGTGGATATTCTTACACAGCCAGCACACGGTTAATATAAGTATGCAATAGAACATTTTCAGTAGGGAAATACTCTTGATATAATATAGTATTAATTACATCGTGATGTTAATACTTAAGATACATTTAACTCTTAATCACTTTAAAATTTGTGATTCTAAGGATTCTTCTACACGTGGTAGAGCCATGCTGCAGCTATATTAGTAGTATAGTTGTAGCACAAATGGGTCGGCTCGACCGGGGAAGGACCACGCTCTCACAGAATACCAGCGTAAAATAGCAGCTTAATGCTACTGTGTTTCGTATGGTGAGTGTAGAGAACCGGAAACCCTTTTTACTGGAAAAGAGGCATTCTATCTTAGTCCTCACGGGTGACAACGCATCTGCATTTTGATTCACAAACGAGGGTAAATGTCTATGGGCCACAGCAACCACTTACCATCAGGTGGACTGTGTCCTCGTTTGTCACCCTATCCTATGAAAAAAAATTCTTAATCGATCTATCAATCTATGTACCATTCACTTATCATCGGGTAAATTATCTAAAAAAAAATCAAAATATCTTTATCTATATCAAAAAGTAAACAAAGGTTGGGACCAACCTATTAAGTAATAATAATACTTGTGCCAGGTGACCCATTATCTGGTTGTTTTACTCTCTTAATAGAATAAAAAACCGAGTGCTTGACTACTCAATCCTACTTGGTGGTAAGTTCATCACTACTCAGAGGTCGTCGAAGACGCATCCGGCCAGGAGGACATCGTAATTAAGAAGTAAAAAAAAGTAATTAAAAAGTAATATAGGTTCACTCTGTAAACACCAGAAACAAACACAAGCTAGTGATACCAGTTACTCAACTGCACAGAGTCAGTAATTCATTTATGGGCAATATTATACGTTATTACAACAATGTCCCAGAAAATATACAACGTCTCTCCAAAAAGTAAATTTTTTTATTAAACAAATACTTTATAAAGAGAGTTATTATAATATAAAATACGCTTCATGACAGAAGGTAATTATTTCCAGGAGTTGTGAGAGCGTGCGATGCAGCAGTGAGTCGCTACGATGTTTGGCGGCACCGGGAGCGCTGGCGGCGGCTACGGCGAGGGCGGCGAGGGCTACGGGCTGGGCTACGTGGGCGGCGGCCGGCTACAGCAGTACGCGCATTTCGCACCCCACCAGAACGTTTGGCACCACCACCACGCCGCGCACCACGACTCATACGGTATTATTTTTTTTTTATAGAATAAGAGTGATAAATAAGCACAATGTCCACGTAAGTGGGTGATGTGGCCCGTATCCCGTATGCATTTAAATTTATCCTCGATTAAGAATCAAAATGCAGATGGGTTGTCACCTCTGAGGACTGAGATAGAATGCCTCGTTTCCAGTAAAAAAGATATCAGGTTCTTTACACTCACCATACCTAACACAGCAACATTAAGCTGCTAATTTACGCTGGTATTCTGTGAGAGCGTGGTCCAATCCCGGTTGAGCCGATCCATTCGTGCTACAACCATGTTGTAGCTGCAGCGTGGCTCTACCACGCAAACAAACTAATAAAAACGACCGGCGTGTTACGATTTTATTTCTTTTAACTGCAAATCGGATATATCATTTGCTTACTGACTGTGGAAAACATCAGAATAATAATTAAGAAGTAAAATATATTTCAATAACGTGTTAATTTGGAGTTAATTGATCAAGTTGTATAGCGTCCGCATACTACAACATTGTCAAGCCAAAAATATTTTTATTCAAAATTGACTTTTATAAAGCAGTTTTTGGAAGTAAAAATCCATCTACGGCTGATGGTCAGCTTGAATAGCAAAAGACCACATTGGTACAGATTGTCACCGTAAAATAGCAGCATAATGCCACTGTGATTCGCATGGTGATTGACGAGAATCGAGTTTTTTTTTAATTAATTACGAGGCATTTCATCTTAGTCCTCAAAGGTAACCCCAAATCTACATTTTGATTCTTAATCAAAAATACATGTTGATTGGAGCACAATATCCACTTATTCTTACTATTCTAAAAATAATTAATATTTAATTTATTATCACACCATATCCCAAAGATAAGGGAAAACATTTCCAGTATGGTACGCTACAGTTAAAGTTGCAGTGCAGTTGCAATGCAGCTCGATTGAGGAATCAGCTTAATGCTGCTGTGTTTTGTGTACAAGTGTACAGAACACAGAACATTTTTACTCATCTGCAATTTGATTCTTTACAGAACATTGATGTCATCTACGTCAATGTGCCTATGGGCCACAGTATACACTTACCAACAGGTGAACTGTGTGCTCGTTTGTCACTCTTATTCTGTAAAAAGGGCACATTGGAATATTAAATCTCTACCGACAAGTTGTCGTGCTTAATATTGTAGATAACTCCCTTCGTGTATAATCGAAGGGATGACGCGTGACATAGTTAAATTTCGCTCCGTTGTCTTCATTGTCAAACCGCAACCAAATGGCACATGATTCAGTATAGTTGCGTTATTCCCAGAAAGATATATTTCCCCTTCAGGAGGATAAACGCCTTGTTTTTGCTATATCTGTTATGGGGAATCGGATTTAGGTGAGTATGGTGTAAGCGACAGCGATTTTTTTTAGAACTTTTAAGTTAGAATAAATTTAGCACGAATGGGTTGGCTCGACCGGAGAAAGACCACGCTCTCACAGAAAACCAGCGTAATATAACAACTTAATAGTGCTGTGTTTCTTATGTCGAGTGTAGAGAACCGGAGACCCTTTTTACTAGTAACGGGGTATTCTATCTTAGTCCTCAGGGGTGATAACACATCTGCATTTTGATTCTTAATCAAGGATAGATGTAAGTGTCTATGGGCCACAGTATCCACTTACCATCAGGTGAACTGAGTGCTCGGTTATACCACTTTATACGATTAAAAAACAAAGAAACGACAGAAATAGGTAAAAGGGTTGTTCCTACTCGGGAAAAGCGTCCTAGCACCTAGTAACAAAAGACTAACAACTCTTGCTTTGAAGACGCCCATGTTTTAATCGGGTGGAAAAACATATGTTGTACACTTCATTAACACACGTTTCTATCATATTTAATTATATTATTAACTAACACGACAGGTTGACCAATAGTTGCAAGTCGATATACAAATCAATATTAAACCGTGTCTATTTGAAAGCACATGACTTGAGGCATATCGCAACAATAGCGACCCTGCTGAATCAGAGCCGATAAGAGGCCAAACGAATGACGCGCGCCTCGGTCAGTGCGCGTCGCGACCTCTGACCGACAGCTCCTGTACTCTAACCTCTTCTGCAGCCAACAAGGACATGGACGCATTACCTCTACCAGCCTCCTGGCTGCAGAACATTGCTCTGATCGCAGGTTTGTCAGTGTTGCCATATGAACCTCAAGTGCTTTTTTATTATGCGTGATTTTATTTACAACACGTGTGATTCGGAACGTTATCTTTGTACTTCGACATTGTTTATTGTAAACAAAGTAAGATATAAATGTGTCAGTTTAAGTTATTGTTAAAACAATGTTTTGTTTTTTAATTTTTATGATTAGTAATTACCAAGTTATCAGATGTTGTAAACGGTGGTGTTTGGTTAATTGATTAGGAAGTAAGGTTATTTTCATAATCGAATATTAATTCATTATCCAAATACTAAAAAAAACTATATCATAGGTTGGACCAAAACTGGTTCATACAAATCAATGTGTTTTAAAATACAGTATTTTGTTTCAACCCATTGAATATAATTTTAAAGATAGGATAAATTATTAATAATAATCGATTATAAGAATAATCAATTATCAACATTAACAACTAATTATAACATAACAAGACAAGTTGTTAATAAACTTTCAATTACCTTAAATATTTTTTCCCGAAAGCTACGCTTCTCCGCAACCAGATTTCTCTAGAGGGGGTTTGCCTTAATCGTGGCGCTTGCCAGGGGATTGGTGTTCCCAGTACCAAAAATCTCGCGCCGTTCACATTTTACGTCAGGCGTAAACGAGATGTTTATACCCCCTGCTATCGGAAGTCGTGTGACATTGCTGGCGTTTCCCGTGCTCGCCACTCACGACACATTTTTTTTTAAATTATTTATTTAATAAAATACCTACAACTCTTTACAAGTTATTAAACCATCTCACATTTATACCAGTTACTCAACATTGGACAAAATTCCAAAAAATATACAAAATTTTACCTCCGCAAAATACAAAGTAAATCAAACATTTTATTAAACATAGATTGTATAATAAATGTTGTTATAATATTAAGGAATTTATAGATTATAATAATCCCAGGGAATGAGGTGATCGCTACACAGCTATTTCTAATTTGTTTTGTGCGCTTATTTGTGTAACAAATATGATTGTAAACTATTCCTTTTTTCAAAAACAATGTCCCACTTGGTTTCTTGTTGGTTCTTTTCAGGACACAGGTATATTTCGAACCATGTGGTATATTAAGCATAAGAGTGATTTACAATAAGTATTATTTATAATCGTTATTCAATAAAAAGTTTCTAAGTCTAAGTATATAATATCAATATAATAATTTAGTAACATCCAATTAGGATTTAAAAAAAAATCTTTGGATTATGCCTAGATATTGGGACAAAGATGACGTCACCATAAGACATCGTTTTAATGTAACTTACCATATTGTAACAGTTGTTTTATGAAATAATGTAACATTAAGTTGTATGAATGCATTGGTAGAATTATTTACTAACTCTTAACACTATCGACACTATTTCTAAACCACCTCCATTTATCAACTACAGTTATCACTAACCAACGAAAAGTTAACTGTATTAATGTAGATAATTACAATTTGTAACTAGATAACAATGAAAGCCACATACATTTAATTTTTTCATAAAACTATTCTTTATTATTCTTTTTTTCTTTAAAAAAAAAGAATAATAAAGAATATTTTTTTTATAAAATGAAACGAACTAGGATAGACATATTTATTATTTAAAAGGAATTATAAAAATAATTCTTGCTAAAAGTTATTAAAATCGGAAAAATCCTAAGTTGAATTCTAGGTTGAAATTATTTTTAAAACCGATGTGCAAAATGTATGATATTTATTTTTAACGGTAAGGGTTGACTGGCAAAGAATGCCACATAGTATAAAGCCCGCTCTGCGTACCCTTAGTTCAAATATGTTACATTTAAGATTGTTAGTAAAAATAAACAAAATAAAAGTGAGAAACGAACTGATGGTACCTACCTGTAAGTGACTACTGCAGTATACTGCAGCCCGTGGACACCTGCAACCAACTTCAAGCAAAGAAGGCTGACCTCTGAGAACTGAGATAGAATGCATCACTGCCTTTAATTATTTTGTCTTAAAAGAAAGAATAGCTATGAAGTAGAAGAAATAGCCATGGGGCTGGCAAAACCAGTTCTAACACCACCTGAATTAAATTTTTATGCCTGCAATTTGGAAGAGATAGAAGTGCATTAGTGATTCACTGATTTTGACGTATAAACTTTTTTCTAACTTTGATTTGACTTTAAGACGATTCCCTGACCAAATAACCTTGAGCATGCAGTGCACTGCCGCCCGCACTCTGCGTTCAACCATTTATCATAGAATTCACACAATTTTTGGAATTAATTTTAATTAAAAAAGAAAAACGAACTTTAAAAATAAAATAAAACTTGAATAATATAGATTTTTAAATTATCTATCCATTAGTGTAATCCCCAAATGATTGGAGCGTTGCCTTTAGCAATAGATGCATGTAATCAATAATTTTAGTCATTTTTTAAAAGTAGATTTTAAATGTATTTATAACACATAAAACAAATTAGAACCTGGAATGAGTGATGATAGGATATCGAACATTAATAACGTGCTTTTAAATGTAGTTTATTTCTCATAACTAATGAGTTAATAGCCTCTAAATAACGAAGGAAAACGCATTATCGGAAGGTTTTGGTCGGGGTATCGCCTTAACAGGCCAAAGCCAAACTGTGTATGCGTGCTATAAGTACACCTCTGTGGTGATATAGGCAAAAGAAATAATTTTCCAAACAAAACATTTCATTCCTTACCAGATCATGTTGTCTTTACAATTTGGTAGGTTTAACTTCGTATTTTTTTATTTGGAACCGAATTAGAAACTTTATGACTAGCTCCTATGTTTGTTATGCTACATTGGTTCACACATATTGTTCATTGACAGGTAGTGGAAGTGTGGGCAGCGTGGGAGGAGTCAGCGGCGTAGGTGGCGCCCTCTATGGACAGAACGTGGTGATGGGATCATGGTGCGCGCCATACGACGCACTACAGCGTCCCCCTGCCTACGGTAAGCTTACAAAAACGTGAAAATAGTACGCAAAACGTAATACATATATCATATCCAAATATTTTATTAAATCTTACGATTGGTAGTAGTAACCTGCAATACTCTTTAATACAAATAAAACAATACCTACATAACTCCTTCTAACGTTCAGTATGAGTAGTCTGTAAACATAGTGTAATAGGTAATTCCTAAAAAAACTCGCGCACCAAATCGTTTTTAATTGCTTTTAATAACCCTAATACTAATATCCTACATAATATATAAATTCTAGTAATCATATTATTTAAAACATTATATAAAACACTTTAAATCATTGAAGCTGTATTTCGCGATACTTTTATAGTTTTTATTAATAAAAATATTAATAAAAGTTTGTTGTTAAATAATATATTTTATATTAACTTTGTTTTATAAAAGACGAATTTAATTAATTCAGACATTCGTATGAGATGTGAAAGACTAATGATTTCATATATTTACATCGGGACGTCAATCACCTCAGTCCCCTGTGACCATGGGTGCTGTAAAGCACCCGAAACGTCGGGAATCAATAAAAAATAAGTTAATAAAACGCGATAGAATCCGTAAAAGTAGTTTTACTCACTGTGAAGGGCTATTAAATAAAACTACATGATCAAAATATGGTAGGTATATTCACATGGTAAAACCATGATGCAGCTATGCTTGCTAGAGACTGAAGCCCAATCGGGTCGGCATGACCGGGATTGGACCACGCTCTTACAGAATATCAGCGTGAAACAAATTTTTCATAAATTTTGTATGGTGAGTGTAAAGAACCAGAGACCCTTTTTACTGGAAACGAAGCAATCCATCTTAGTCGTCTGGGGTGACACGTATCTAAATTTTTGGAACGAAGTTATTTATCAGTCGGTACGATTTTGACGGTTGGGGGCTAGGCGAGAAAAAGTGTAAGATTTTTCCGCCACTGCCCCTTCTGACGTAGTGTAGACGGTCTAGACGGCTATAAGGAAGCTAGATGGAATAATGTCCATCTCCCTCGCACTTTTTCTTATCTTGCCATAAAAGAAATATTATTTTATTTAAACGACGCTTCATTTTAATAGACTCTAGTAATTCATTTATTTTTCTTAATCAAGGATAGAATTAGATGTCTATAGGACACAGCATCCCGTTACCATCAGGTGGACTGTGGGCTCGTTTGTCAGCCTAAGGCCCGCCACATACATATGGAATTCCGTTTCGGTATTCTGTTTCGATATTCCGATTCGGAATTCCGAACGCAGGAAGTCCATATAAAATCTATGACCAGTCACACACATACGGTAGTTCTCCTTTGTCAGATTTACATTTGTCGTCGATTAAAAATCAAAATGCAGATTCGTTGTCACCCCTGAGGACTAAGATGGAATGCCTCGTTTCCAGTAAAAGGGGACTCCGGTTCTTTGCACTTACCACACGAAACACAGCAGCATTAAGCTGCTATTTCACGCTGGTATTCTGGGAGAGCGTGGTCCTAACCCTGTTGAGCCGATTCATTCGTGCTACAAACATAATATAGTTGCAGCGGAGCTCTAACATGAATGCAAAGTTCTAAGTATTGCAATAGCCTCCTGCCGTCTTAACTTTCGTCCACGTATTCTGTGTGGTCTCTACTTTTTGCGTCTTAGTTCCGGGTAGTCAGAACAGGGGGTGAAGATTTTAATTTAACTATTTAGACTACATTAGCATTGCGATATTTCTTATTGCACTCAAAAGGAGAAAAAAAAATCGCTCGCTGTAAATTTCAAAGTGCCCGGGCAACCCGAGCCTATTTACCACGCGTTCGACGGTGAAGGAAAAAATAGTGAGGAAACCTCCATGTCTGAAAAATTTAAAAAAAAATTCGAAGGCATGTGAAGCTCGGCGAAAATTTCAAAAACATGTGAAGCCCCAAGCGGCGCGACGCGGCAGACACTTCCTTGCTCACGTATATAGGCTGTAACTAACTAATAAAAAGTAAACGTCGCCTTCAAAGAACTAAAAGGAATAAAATAATTTCACACTCTGAAGTCTTACCTTTAACTCTTCTTTAAATTATGTCTTAGCCTAGATTCAAAATAGGATTTTTTTAGTTGTTTGATGTCGACTTTTACTTCTTATTTAAAGATTTTTTTAATCTATGTATTCAACGTGTATTTTATAAGTGTCTAAATTTTATAGTTTGACTTATCTTTATTATAAAATTACTTAAACGTTTCTAAGGTGCTGTTCACATTACACAAATGCATCGATTATTAAATTATTATCAAGTAGGCATGGATTGCATTCTTGATTATTGGCTGTTAATGATAAAAATAGCTTTACAACCGCAATTCAATGATAAATATACATCACATTTCCAGACAATCCACAAAATGTAACCCTTATCGTTATTATTTACATAAATGTACGAATATTTCCTTATTTTCGCTAGTGGTGGCTAATCGTAAGTTATTTATAATTAGTGTTAAAACGTTTCAATAAATGATAATATTTATATTATTTGAAAACCTTATACCATAACTTTATACTTCTATTTCTGTATCACTCCGTAGAAGTCCACAGTGGACATGGACTTCTACTTCTACCGTTGAAGAAATCGTCACGCTTGGTCAATGGACTGGCAGTCGCTAGCATTACTCTTTTTTTTTATAGGATAAGGGTGACAAACGAGCACACAGTCCACCTGATGGTAAGTGGTTGCTGCGGCCCATGGACATTTACATCTATCCTCTATTACAAATCAAAATGTAGATGCGTTGTCACCCGTGGGGACTAAGATGGAATGCCTCAGTTCCAGTAAAAAGGGCCTCCGGCCACCAGCACTCACCAAGCGAAACGCAGAGGTAAACCTATATACTTATATACTTACGCTGGTATTCTGTGAGGTCGTGGTACCACCCCGGTTCGAGCCGGCCCATCCGTGCGACAGCAAAAGCTGCCGCGTGGCTCTACCACTGTTTAACTCTCTAGCGTAAACGAGATGTACCTACACAAAGTTTGTAACAAAATAAATCAATTTGTATGTGCGTTATAAACTGACAAAAATATAAATTTAATAACGGCTGTATTTTGGTTCGATTATATTTGTTTTGAGTAGGGACTAAAATTTTCATTACTAACAATAAATCGATGCTTTAATCAATTGAATTTACTAATGATGACTCGTTATTGTTTAAAGGACATTATAGACATTTATTTAAGTAGAATAAATTTAGACATAGAATAAATGTTTCTCTATATATATAATACATTAACACCAACAACAAAATACTTGTAAATATTTAATCGCAAATAAAAAAAAAATTGATATCTCTTTTCCGAGATCTTTCTAGGGTTTCCCGTGGTTTCCTCTCAAGATATACTTATTTATGGAATGAATTGGTTGATGGATTCTTTTACACCGCCACGACCACACGGCAAACCCAAAAAATATTTATTTATTTAACAAGTACACTTACACAAGTACTCAAACTTAAGATAATAAATCACTACGCTTAGGCAAACCTATAAGGATCACATTTAATTGTACTTAACTTGCCACCTCCACATTATGCTATCCCATTACGGGGGAAATATCGCACTGTGTATATTTCGACGTGATCACGCGGAAACATTTTAGCGTATGGTATACACACGGGCCGATCCGACGCGGAGCGTAATCCAAGCTCGTGATAACGTTATCTGCAACCTAATGGGCGACAGTGCAGGAAAAATAGATATATTATAAACTAGATTAGACACGCTCTCATTGCTAATACCGTAATCGTTGCTATGTTGGCGGGAAAATATTATTGTGTTTGTTTTTTTTTTTCTTTGTAATTAATTAAAATTTCCCTTTAAATAATTTGTTTACGAACTTCTTCACAATATGTAAATGAGCATATTGCGAAGTTATTGGAAGATTTTGACGGCAGCTTGAGCTAGCAGACAATCGATGACGATGGCCTAGATTAATGATAAGTCATCGCGCGCTCTGACTAGATACCGCGCTCCCTGCAAGTAACAGCTCCGTGACTGCGGCATCTTAATATTGTAGTGTGTATAAGACAATTTTCATGATGCTAGTGTGCGTGAAAAATTGTATATGCCAGCAGCTTAACTATTACCAGATTAACGGGAAAATTTATTTTATACTATGGCTTAATAGTTAAGTTCATAGTTATGAATGTATTCCAGAAATACTTAAAAATGAATAGTTTATTAATAACGAATGTATCAATTTGTGTATATTGTGTATATTATGTATAGGTTTTTCTTCTGAATAAATGACATATATATGATAAGGCCTCCTTTTTATCAGTTTAATTTTTTTGTCTAACTAATATTCACAAATTATTTAAAAAAAATAGTTATATATATGGTGTAATCAAAATAAGGCTTTCTATTCTACGCGTCAATATGAACAACTTTTACTATAGATCTATCTTCCTAATCGCAAGAAAAATCAGGTCTTCCTTACATTTTGAGCAAGTTTGTACGAAATTTTGTATGGAATAACTTTGAGATATTTTAATAGGTTAAGTGTGACAAACGAGCACATAGTCCACCTGATGGTAAGTGGTTGCTGCGACCCATAGACATCTACATCTATCCTCTATTACAAATCAAAATGCAGATGCGTTGTCACCCGTGAGGACTATGATGGAATGCCTCATTTCCAGTAAAAAGGGCCTCCGGCCACCTGCACTCACCAAGCGAAACGCAGAGGTAAACCTCTACTTCACGCTGGTATTCTGTGAGGTCGTGGTACCACCCCGGTTCGAGCCGGTCCATCCGTGCGACAACAAAAGCCGCCACGTGGCTCTACCACTGTTGTTGTTTTAAGTACTCAAGCAAATACTGGATTTTTAGGAATGTTAGTGTGTATTGAAAGTCTCAAACAGATAACTAATCTTGTGATCTAGCGTTATCATGATGAAAGACCACTCCTATTCTGATTATCAATGCCAGCCGTTTTTTTTTTCTATTTCTTGCTTGTCTCATTATTTATTGGTAGTAGAGATCCGAATCGATGGTTTTATCCGGCGGTAAAAGCTCATGATAAACTTTCAATACCACCATACATACAGCATCATTTTATTGCGTGTTAATCCAGGTTTCGCTTTAGTCTGTAAACAAAACATATCAATACAGAAAAAATCACGTTTCTTGTATGGTCTTCATACAAGAAACGTGATTTTTTTGGGTCCTTTAATATTTTACTTGTTTTCTTTTTTATGTTATGTTGTTATAGCAGCAATATAAATACACATTCTGTGAAAATTCTACATATTACGGTTTATAAGATACAGACAGACAGACAAACGGAACGATAGTGGAGACTTGGGTCCCGTTGATACTCTTTGGGTACGGAACCCTAATAAATGGCAATTATGTCATTTGAGTAATTCTACAGAAATAAACATTAAATATTATAGAATTAGGTTATATTATAATAAGTTTAATATACTATATTATAAAATATAGTAACAATAAATTCACACATAAAAATCTCAGCCACGGGGAACTATTTTTGCATTCGCGGCAACACTGAATGGCGTCATTGTTATTTTGTGACTTATTTATGGCTCGTGTTATTTTATATTAAAATTTCGAAATTGTATGATACTTAATGATAGTATGTGATTCCAGTGTCTTTCTTATTTATGGGAATATTATTTTCACACAGTTTCACTTCGTAAACTGGTATTTTACTTCGGATTATGATCAAAATTTAATAAAACATTCGATACGTCTACCTCACACGTTGCCTACAACGCGACTGACTCGGGTACGCCGATTTTGGCGTAGTATTTGTTGCCGCATTTTACATGAGCGCCGGCGGTATCTAGTCAGAGCGCGCGATGACTTATCATTAATCTATGAACGATGGTATCTCAAGGCGCTTAAGCAAACACACTATCTTGAGGTTTTCATCACAATCAGAACTTTTATTTCATTGTTTCCGCTAATAGTTCATATCGCAAACATTTAATACACAAAATCGCACTTATACGTATCAAAATATATTTCAAACCACTGAATAAACAATAATATAGGAACAGACATCCGCCGGCGATCAAGTTCCCGCCAAAACTCCGGAAGACCGGATTTTTTTCTACTAGCATTACAATGTAATTTTTTTTAATTTATGTACCTCTATTTTATGCTGTCTGCATACTTCATCAAATTTCTCTTTGCTTGCCTGCCAGTAATACGATTGAAAATAATTTTAAAATTATAAAAGAGAGAACTTAAATTTATTATAATCTTAAAAATTCAGAGGCAAAAAAATCTTGGAGACAAAATAAAAAAATAAAATTTACATAATATTATATAAATCATTCATAGATAAACATGCAGACTCGAAACAATTATTTATAGGTGCATTACGATACCGAGCCGTCTAAATATATTATAAATTAGTTAAAACTGTAATTTAAACATCAGAAAAAACAAGGAGCAACAATGCGTCCGCTTATCTCGTTAGGCGTTATATATAAACAATGTACAAGTAATCGCATCGAGCTGTCGAGGAAATTATCGAGCAATTAATATCAGACTAAGCTACGATACATTGCGCACAATTACCACACAGATACATATTATAATTGTTACGTACAAATTAATGGATTTGGGTTAGCAAACAGCGATGGCGACCCGCTATCGTCCGGATAGGCGATAACGCTGCCGATTAGGACGCAAGTCGCTTGCATTTACAAGCTCCACGTATTGTCACCAACACTTGTTATTGTTTCCAAACTTCTAGGAAGCGATAAGCGATAGTGAACCTTGTAAGTAATTTTTGGGCAGCACTTCAAGTTACTTCGATTACGTAGAGCTCCTGTGTAGAAAAAATCGTACATCTTTACTCGTTATGCCGTGTAGCGGCGCCATAAGGGAATCCCTTGGATGTCGTAAGAGGTCACACAGGGAAAATGAAACAGGAGAAGGGCAGCAGCATTCAATTTAGGTTGACAGCCAACTATGGCAAATATTCCCCTATATATGGTGGAGACCTATGTTCAGCAGTAGTCTTCTGATAGGCTGTAATGACATGAAAAATTATTTAAGTACATCTTTGCAAGGTAGGGTTCGTGCCATAGAATCCGCCTGGGTCGATTACTCCTCTTGTAATTCTGTCGCCAGACACACTGCTGTGTTACGATAATGTAAGACATAGGTTGTGTATTAAGCAGCTAACTGATTTGTCTAATATAGGTACCATACACATATTTGTTGTAAATTAAACATTATCTGATGGCTGCGCATGTGAATTTCGTTAGAATAGAATAGAATATCGTTTATTTCTTAGTATATGATAATGTCTTACTACCATATCCGGTGTATAAATATTACAATTAGAATATCTAATATTTAACATTTTATAATACTTATTTAGACAAATTTATACATTTACACCATTACATACGAATTATTAATTGTAGAGATATATATATATATATATATATATTACTGCAATATTAGGAGCATTAGTTTATTTTATAAAATTGAAATGACAAACGAACTTACAGTATATAAAAATATTTATAGAATCAGGGTTACAAACGAGCACACAGTCTACGGGTAAACTCGGTCTACTTGATAGTAAATGACCACACAGCCTATGGACATCTACAACCAACATCAAACAAAGAAAGCTACAGATGCGTTGATGCAATCCCTCTCAGCCTGTAATTAGAGGGGCTCTCTACCCTTTAGCAGAATTTTGTCGAACCACATAGTAAATCCCTCATCTCATTACATACTTATGGGTTTTATTTTCATATTTTGACTAAGACAAATGCTACCAGTTGGCTTACTATGACTTAGGTATTATTATTACTTATTTTTTTAGTTTTCGAAATAACCGTCTCAAATAGGATCCTCTAACAAACGACGAAGCTGGGATTCGTGCAAGGTGTAAAATTTTCTAAAGATTGAAAGAACCACATGGGTATCATATCACAGCAAAAGTTTTCTTACAGATGATGATAATGATGAAGTTTGGTTGAACTTTCTTAATGCTTTTTCGGCTGACAAACGAGCTAACCATCCACCTGGTGGTATATGGCTACTGCAGCTAGCCATAAACCGCGATATATATATATATATATATATATATATATATATATATATATATATATATATATATATATATATCTGATAATATAATAAAATAAAATATATCACCTCTGAGAACAAATATGGAACGCTTCATAAGCTATAATTACACAATAGCTATCTCTATTCTACGAGAAGTAGACATCAAATATTTCTAGACTAATTTTAAGTGCACAAGTTGAGGTCATACCGGCTAACATTAGCGACAGAATAGACAAGCGACAGCTTTACCAATCTCGGTCCGCCGAGAGGTCGGCCTCGGCTGTGTGTGACGGACGTGGGCACACAGATGGCGTGCTGGAGGCGTATGAGGAGGGCCGCGAGTGCGTGAACTGCGGCGCGAACAACACGCCTCTGTGGCGACGCGATGCCACCGGCCACTACCTGTGCAACGCGTGCGGCCTCTACCACAAGATCAACGGAGTGAACCGGCCGCTCGTGAAGCCCAGCAAGCGGCTGGTAAGTCTCATACCACCATATAGTAACCCTCTCTCTGCGAACAGGTGCCGACGCTGAGCTCCTCACCCGCTTCTATAAGGACGGCTCCGTGCAGAGATGGATGAGTGTGGAAGGCATGGCCAGGGGCATGAAGAAGGTGAGTCGGTGGCGTGTAGACTAGTGCATGCATCCCCACCCCGCTTGACAACGCCCGCACCCCGCACGCGACTTTAACCTTTCTTGTTGATTTTTGCCGAGTAGGGAACTACACGCTACCGCTCCTCACTTCGATAGCGGCGTTGGGTGTCCCGATTGTCCGTGATACATTGTAATTCGAATTCTCGAACACCCTATCCTTTGCTTACCGTTGCTTTTAAATCGGGACATTCGGTGTCACTGTGCCTCGGTTCTATTAGACCGTATGAATGCTGTATCAGTGTGTTTGGTGCCGACGTAAGTTATCGTAGTGGAAGAGTTGTTCTTTGATGTTTTCCGCGAGTAATTGCCGCGAGGAGCGCGTTATAATGTCGGCGCGAGTGGGCGCTGGGGGCCGAGGCTAAGTCGCCAATGGGGCTCGACCCCGCCCGCTATTGGACAGTGGCGACACCGGTTTATCTTCCTTTTATCGGGTCGAGCACTTATGTGGGGACTAGAAACTAGTTAACATGGTGGCGGAGTCTACTCGCACGTGCCTTGATGTCGCGCCGATGTCTGTGAACACTGTCTTCCTGCACGTTAATATTACCTGTAGACACAGTGAAAGTACTTTATATTTGAGATCCAGTATCGCCTATATTATTGTACTTACAATATAAATTTTACAATGCATGTTACTAATGCTAGTGTTTCCAAAGGTGGTGGTACATTGAATATTTTAATTCAAATTGACAATATTAGATACTGTTTATCTTATTTTATTATCTAAGATGTATGTATGGATGTATGTAAAAAATATTTTTACTAATACACAACGCAACATGAGACACTGTTTATCAAACCTTTCATTGAAATTTGAAACTGCTTTAATTCTACTTTTTTTTATTTAATTATTTTAACTTATCGTAGATTACATTTTTAATTAAATTAAATTACAATTAATTTTTATTCAAAGTCATTTATTATTTTTACCACTGCTGGTTGGGAAAAAAACTTCTGTCCTGGGAAGAGTCAGCAAGAAACCCAGCGGGGCTTTTTGAATTGAATATTTTTGGTTAATTAAAATTGCATCCTCTATTTTTATGGAAGCATATCGTGATTGATAATTACCGATACAAGCAGCAATAATAAGTATCTCAAAATTATACAAACGGAATTCTGTTTTGCCTCCGCGGCTTGCAACCGGTTCCATCCGTACTCTAGACCCTTGCGGTACACCGCTCACAAATACACAAAAAAGTTTGTCAATATGTTCTTAAGTCCTTATCTGATGCATCGAGATTGTAATCATGTGAGAATGAGACACTAAACAGGTGCAAATGAGAAAATGTTACAAATTTAGTTCCATGCTAATTAGAGAGTAACAACTAACAAATGTAGCCTTTGAATCCGAAAGAAGTACCAAAGATTTCAAAGTTAAATATTTTCTTTGCCATAACACACCAAAAAAACCAAAGTAAATCTGGTAAAATAACATTTTAATGTACGTAAATCGTTTGAATACTATATTGATTTTAGTATTTATGAAATTTCTTTATGCTATAATCAAAATTTAAATGAGTTCCCTAAATAGTAACTATTCGTTTGTTTATTCCTCTTTTCACTTACAACGGGGCATTACTCGTATATCTCAGTGCTCTAAAGTGATAACGCATCTGCATCTAATCTTAAGTATAGATGTACGAGTATGTAGGTGTTTATGAACCACAGTATTCACATATCATAAGATGTACAGCGGATTCATTCGTCACCTTTACTTCTTTAACTTCCAATATTCGAAAGATGTCGTCGAGGATGGAATCGGCTAAAAATATCATCATCTATGTGCATGTCTGGTTATCATAAACTCAAAGTAATATGTAATAGTGTTTTGTTTTCAAACTTAAACAGATGTTTTCCAACGAAGTATTTTTTGTAATTATTCGCTGTTGACGGGAGAGCCTAACCCTAACCTAACTATGGAGTTAGGTCTCTGGACTCATGGTACAGTTGTAAACTTTCTAGAGATCAAACAGTTGGTGTAGTTACTGCTGCTAACACTGACCCTGAACTCGACGACATGTGCCATCCACTCTTGGTGCTAACACGGTCACACGTTCCCAATTCTGCCGTCTCTGTATATTTTACACTAAACTCACCTTTAAGCTACTGGATTAATACAATTAGTTACCATTCACCAGCAGGAACTACCCCAAAGTCAATTATCAAAAGTTCAGTGATTGTTGCTTTTTTTCTTTACTTTGTCACAAATAGATTTTTATTTACATAAACATAATATTACCTAAAAAGACAAAGAGTGCCCAAACATTCCATATTTATCTTACACTAGCGCTTCGCCCCGACTTAGCACGAGTGATTTCTGGATCTCGTCAACAGCGCCACCTATCGGGTCCAATATTATTATATATATTTAAGATCACATTAGTAAGATTGAAGTGAGTGTTTAATCTAGCCTCGCAGAATCCTGTTAAGCATGTGCAGGTGTAATGGAACATACGTGTGCAGTATTTAACGTGTATCGGTGTACAGTCGGCAGCGAGGAGACACGGTCAATGCTGCACCAACTGCGGTTCTCGCAACACGACGCTGTGGCGCCGAAACAACGACGGCGAGCCCGTTTGTAACGCCTGCGGACTGTACTACAAGCTCCATGGCATCAACAGGTAATTAGATTATTTTTTTAAACGTTACAACCGCGCTAGGATCCTAAACAATTCTGCCTCGTTAGGCTGGAGGTACCGGGTTGGACTGTAATCAGGTATTGGTTGTATCTGTCAAGAAAACCTCAGTAGCAGACCGGAGTCGGGAAAATGGCGGTGTATCACCCCCGTACCACGAAATGTAAAAACCGTTGGTCTTGCGCCTGATCTCTCTCCGGTCGTGTCGGATCACCTCCTCAACGTACTATGAGAGTGAGGGAATAGAGAGTGCACTTGTATTTGCGCATATAACCTAGCATATAATCCTGTCCTTCGCATATGACTAGACTCCGTTGAGACTGGCCGCCGTGACCGGAATTCGGTCAGAAGGATCAGTATCAATTTCCCTCTATCGCCTCTTACAACACCCTCGGGGCAGGTTACGGTTAACAGTAGATATTGCGAATTCCAGCTTAATAACTTTAAGACGCTAGAGCCACGCTGAAGCTATATTATGGTTGTAGCACGAATGGGTCGGCTCGACCGGGGCCACCACCGGGAACCACGCTCTCACAGAATACCAACGTAAAATAGAAGCTTGATGCCGCTGTCTTTCATATTTAAGTGTAGAGAATCGGATACCCTTTTTACTGATAATGAAGTGGTTTATTATATGCGTTGGTGTCTATGGACCACCACATTCTCTTACTATCAGATAGACTGTATGCTCGTTGGTTCTTTTTAAAAGATACAACCATAGACAATTGTTTAGATAATACTATTTTATTCTACTTTCAGAACTAAATATTATGTTTAATAATAAACGACCACTTCGTTAGTATGGTATTCGTAAACGCGGTTGCTCTGTCTCTCAGAGTTGGGTTGGTCTTGGGTTCGGATCCCAGGTCAGGCCAAAATCAGTTATTGAGTTTTTCTGTGGAGAAATTCTCAGAAGCAGCAGCGGAGTCAGGGAGTTCGCGGTGTTTCACCCCCGTGGGTAGGACGTAAAGACATAATGTGTCCTGCGCCTGATCTCTCTCCGGTCGTGTCGGATTACCGTCACGTCGAACTATAAAAGTTGAGGGAGTAGAAAATGCAACTGTGCATACATTCATTACCCTTATATACACTTGGAAACTATAATCTTTTGAGTTGAGACTGGCCGCCGCGACCGAAATTCGGTGTGTAGGACATTATTATTATTATTATCATTGATTTGAATAAATTACTTTAATACATCACTAGATTGCCTAAAGAATTTATAAAATGTATTTATACAGCATTGCTTTAATAATTTCTCTAAACGGTATTTTTATCGCTTACAGACCGCTGGCAATGAGGAAGGACGGCATACAGACTAGAAAGAGAAAGCCGAAAAAGTCAGCAAACGGTACGAAGCCTCCGCAAGAAACGGTCAAAAAAGATGACCACAGCTCACCAGGAATTGATGGTAAGAAAACTAAAAACTTCTAGAACATCCAATGGCACATTCGCAATCAGTAAAATTAAAGTAGGATTTTTACAGTGGTAAATAAAATAATGACTTTCAATAAGTATTATGTAATAATCCATATTGAATAAAAATCATTCTATTCTATTCTATTCTATTATTACACGTGGTTATGTCAATCTATGTTATTGGTTGTAGCACGAACGGGTCGGCTTGACCGCTTTGTTTTTATTCTATAAAAAAAAAAACGAAAACAAAGCGAGTTCAAAGAGTCATTATAATTGAGAAAGTGCGGTTAAAATAAAAGTTTATCGGTTTCTAGATGATGTAAATACACAAAATAATGCCTCAGTGGCTATCTTTTTAATTTCTAATCAATTAATTTTAAATATAACTAGTTCTTTAGAAATAAACGTTAACTTTTATTTCTAAAGAACTAGTTTAACATCATTGCTATATGGCACCGCCCTGGTTTCGGAAAAAGTCGTGGATGCCTTCAATAAATTAAGCATGTTGTATGTTACTTTGTTATTACACGGCACGAGAGGCTGACGGGGTTTAGTAGAGACGACTACAGGAATAATTTCGATCGGCAGACCATCCCATATGTCGGTCACCTCGTGAGGTAGGTCCAGATATTTTGTTGTGTGTGGACTTTATATTATTATTATGTTCCAGAGAGCAAAGTGAACGCGACGGAGGTGTCGATGGCGGGGGGGGCGCGGGGGCGCGAGGCGGCGGGCGCGGGCGCACACACACAGGCGCAGGCGCAGGCGCACGCGCACGCGGCGGCACACACACACGCGCAGGCGCAGGCGCAGGCGCACGCACACACGCAGGCGGCCGGGCAGCAGTACGCGCTGGGCGCGGCGCCCGCCTTCCTGTCGAGCCCGGCGCTCTTCAACATCAAGAGCGAGCCCAGCGCGCCCTACGACGCCTACGCGCACGCCGCGCCCTACCCGCAGCACCACTACCTGCACGCGCTGCAGGTACGCCGCAAACTCACTCATCACCACCAACACTCACGCCGCCCGTCCAGAGCAGGCACATACATCCATGTACCTACGCATACATACTCGTCGGTTAAGTGTACTCTTAATCTGACCCATCTTTAATATATCGCCAACTTGATCGATAAACTTTCGTCTAAGGCGTCCATTCCCGACTCTGCCGTACTTTCTAAATCATTTTAAGCCGTTGGTCCTGCACCTAATCTCTTTCCGGTCGTGTTGGATTACCCTCCCATCGGACTATTAGAATTTTCTTCCATCCATCCATCCCTCCCTTAGAAAGCGAGTTAACAATCACAGTTGCCCATCTCCTGATTGTTGACGAGTTCAGAGTGACAAGTTGACAATATACGTTCTGATGAAGTCTAAAACAAGGCAATTTAGAATCTTTGAAAACACTTTTGGCATATCATCATTTTTTCACGTGGTTGAGCCATGCTGCGACTACATTAGTAGTATAGTTGTAGCACGAATGGGTCGGGAGTAAAAACGGTCTCCGGTTCTCTACACTCACCATACGAAACATAGCAACAGTGGTCCTACCCCGGTCGAGCCGACCCATTCGTGCTACAACCGTTATATACCTAGCTGCAGCGTGACTCCACCACGTATTACGGAATAGAGTGAGGATGTTCCATTCCTCTTCCTCTAAAATAGATTTTAGATTGTAGATTAAATATCATGGAGGTTACTTACAATTATTTGTACTTAGGCTGTATTTTACTTGCAAACATTTCTTTAGGTCATTTGAAGATAAAATTGGATACCTCGCAGCTAAAACCACTATCTGTTATTGTGCAGAATAGAACAATAAGCAGTTATGAAAAATTTAAATCAGATCATCATCACTTAACATCCTTAGTCATTCATCAACATCACCTACATATCGCACGTCCGCTCAAATATCGTCATAAATCCGAAATACAAATTGTCGAGAAAAATGCATTTAAAAATTCATCATCATCATCATTACAGCCCTTCACAAGTCCACTGCTGAACATAGGCCTCCCCCAAAGAATGCCACAAAACACGGTCCTGAGCCACCTGCATCCATCGACTTCCTGCATGTCTTACCAGGTCGTCACTCCATCTCGTGGGGAGACGCCCTACACTTCGCCTACCGGTACGAGGCTGCCACTCGAGAACCTTTCTTCCCCATCGGTTGTCGGTTCTTCGAGCTATATGGCCGGCCCACTGCCACTTCAGCTTACTAATCCGTTGGGCTATGTCGGTCACTCTGGTTCTACTGCGGATATCCTCATTCCTAAGTTTATCACGCAGAGAAACTCCGAGCATAGCCCTCTCCATAGCTCGCTGAGCGACCTTGAGCTTCCTCATACGGCCAGCAGTGAAGGACCACGTCTCAGTTCCGTAAGTCATCACTGGCAACACGCACTGGTTGTACAATTTTGTTTTAAGGTTTTGAGGTATGTCTGACGAGAAGATGTGTCGTAGCTTCCCGAACGCTGCCCAGCCGAGTTGAATCCGTCGATTGACCTCTCGGTCGAAGTTGGACTTACCCAGTCGGACTATTTGTCCCAGGTAAACATACTCGTCAACAACTTCGAGCTTAGTGTTCCCAACAACTACCGGCATAGGTGTGACATGGACATTAAACATGATCTTAGTTTTGTCCATGTTCATCTTAAGACCTATCCGTTGGGAAACACTATTGAGGTCATTGAGCATAGTGCTTAGGTCCTCCAGCGATTCTGCCATAAGGACTATATCGTCGGCAAATCGAAGGTGAGTGATGTACTCGCCATTGATGTTGATACCGTATCCTTTCCAGTCCAGAAACTTGAAAACGTCTTCCAATGCAGCGGTGAAGAGTTTCGGGGATATGACGTCACCCTGTCTTACACCTCTCTGCAATTGGATAGGTTTCGTACTCTGGTTCTGTACTCGGATAGCCATCGTAGCCCTACTGTACAAGCACTTCAACACTTCGATATACCGACAGTCAACTTGGCACCGCTGAAGGGACTGCAGCACCGCCCAAATTTCGACGGAATCAAAGGCTTTCTCATAGTCCACATACGCCAGACATAGTGGCAAATTGTACTCTTCGGACTTCTGTACAACTTGCCGAAGGGTATGTATGTGGTCTATGGTGCTAAAGCCCTTTCGGAAACCGGCTTGTTCGGGAGGCTGGAAGTCGTCAAGTCTGCGCGCGAGACGATTCGTAATGACTCTCGAAAACAGCACGTAGACGCGGCTCAGAAGGGAAATCGGTCTGTAGTTCTTCAAGAGAGCGTTGTCACCTTTCTTGAAGAACAAGACCACCGCACTTCTGCTCCACGCCTCCGGTGTAATGCCACCATGGAGGACGGAATTAAAGAGCTTCTGAAGGATTTCAAGTACCGGTCTTCCACCCGCTTTCAGAAGCTCCGCTGTAATTCCATCCTCGCCTGGGGCTTTACCGTTTTTAAGGTGCTGGAGAGCCATCCTAATCTCACTCAGACTGACATCCGGGATATCTTCGGAATAGTGTCGGATGAGACTCTATTCCGAAGATTTTAAAAATTTTAAAATCTTCGGAATAGAGTCAGAAGAGTCAGTCAAAAGAGAATTTAAAAATTACTCTAACTTAATTTTTCACTTCTTGGGGCATAACTCAAAAACTAAGAAAATTATCACTATACTATTTTTAATAAATTATAATGGTTTTAAATGCTCCACAAAATGGTATATTTGCTATCCTCAAAAAAATAAAAAAAAAATAATAAAAAGTTTGGAGTTGTGACACTATATAGATAAAAAAAAAAACGAAAAATTCACAAAATATTATTTAATGAACGACATTTTAACGAACGAAAAATATTTTCTACTTAATAATTATAATAGGAACATAATACTAATTAAACTTATTTATATGTAATAAGTAACAAAATTAACATATTTAGTCATATAACTTAACCCTTTTCATCAAAATAGTAACAAAATCAACAGAAATAACCGTAAGGAGAACAATAATATTTAACAGTACAAAATTTAACTGAATTAATATGGTTAGATAGGGAAACATCTTCATAAATGAACATACTCGTAGGTAATCAAAACCAACTCATAAATTGTTATAAAAGTCACAATAAAAACTTGGAATATGATTATTTTGTAAAAAAAGTTAATAAATCAGTTTTTTTATTATTTTTAATGTCTATTTTTGTAGTATAGGCTTGATTTGTATCAGGAATAGTTATTTTTTCATTTCGGGAGAGTAAATTACCTTCAGACCATTCGGTATCTGTGTAAGAAGTTTTGTATTTTAAAATATTTGGCCTATCTTTGGCAATAATCATCTTATTTACAGTCCTAATACTAGTCATTAAACTTTTCAAAGAAATAAAATCTCTGTGTGACAACTGTGTGACAACTCTCAGTGGCTCCCCAGATTTTTTAGCCTCTTTAATTATCTGCACATATTGACTTGGAACGTAAATTGGACCCGACTTCAATGAACGTTTTATTTGTTTTTCAATAACTGAATGCACACAATCTCCTTCATTTTGTGTGTGTCCTGCTACTAAAAATTTATGACTAATTGAATTAAGTTTTCTATACTTCATTACTGCATACATGTACAATCCCACAATGTACTTATTTTTATTCTGCCCGCAGCAGTTGTCCGAATAGAAAACTATATCAATAGGCCCGTTATCCGTATGACAGTGCAATTCTTTTTCGATAAATTTAAGCAAGCAACTACCGGTCTCATCCGCACCACGATTGCCTTCACCCTCGTGCCAAAAATAGCTATCCGTAATACTATGGATTACAATAGGGCCACTATCTTTACTGTTTGTCAATTGATTACTTTTTCCTCCTTTTTCTTCTGGTTTCAATTTGCTTATTGTGAAATTAAAATTATTTAGTTTTCTCTTGTAGTAAAACATCACCACGTGGTACCTGTAAAACAGCCTGTAAATCGTATACTGCTACAATAAAGTTTTTGTTAATCTTAAGAGCTTCTTTGTCTTTCCTTTTTTCATCCCTAGATAAGTTCTTTTCTACTATGTGTTCGTAATATTTTTTCTTAAGTTTAAGTTTATCTTCAAGATTTGAATTTTCATAAGCTACACATAATTCACATCTGTCTTTTTTTGGCACGAAGAAACCTAAATTAAATTCAGCATTAAATATGCGACTATACATAACATAATTCCCATAACTTCGACGATCTTGTTTACACTGGTTCATGTAATCCCTATGTAAGTCTGCAATGGTCTTCCCTCCATCAATGTACTCTCGTGTAGTTTGTGCCTGTAAATAATGTCTTTCAATCTTTGGTATCCGTTTTATATGATCCCTGATTTCATTTTTAATAGTTTTGTCTACAGTATAATGTTTATTATGTTTTCCTCTCTGATCGTCTTTTAGAAAACCACCAGTTGATTTCTCTATAACAGTTCTGATCGTTCTATCATTAATGCCAAAAGTATTTTTAAACATAGTTTAGCAGATCTTTTTCAATGAACCTTCAACCACAAAGTAGAAAGCATAATTATTTTTTCGAGGTTTTTGTGCTTTGGTATAACGATACTTAACTTCTATTGGTCTTAAATGTTTGTGTATAAATTGTCTCTGTTTCTCTAAATTTTGCAAAGCCCAATAAGAATTACACAGTTGTAGCCTTACTTCGTCGGTAAGAAAAGAACTGCATTACAGTCTACAACGTTCTCCACAACCCTCCCTCATATTTTTTTTAGAATATATCGTCCAGATTTTGTTTGATAATGCAATCCCGAGTTTCGTAGCGTTTTAGTCACATTTTGCTACCATTGTTCTTCAGCACGCCGTTTCTTACGTGTAGGCGTTGATTCTTGTGTTATATCTATATTAGGTTCTTGTGAGGTTAATGGACGGTCGCTATTGTTTTCACTTGATTTTGCATTAGGTGGCATAGGTGATAAGTTGGTTGAGAATGAACTTGAGCTGGACGATGAAGAACTTGAGTTAGTTGATGAAGAACTCGAAGT